ACCTACACCTACCTACATACATACATACCTACCTACCTACCTACCTACCGTACTACCTACACCTACCTACACCTACATACATACCTACATACCTACATACCTACATACATACATACCTACCTACCTACCGATACATACATACCTACTACCTACAGTACCTACCTACCTACTATACCTACCTACATACACCTACATACATACACAGACTACCTACCTACCTACCTACATACCTACCTACATACCTACCTACAACATACCTACCTACCTACCTACCTACCTACATACACCTACACCTACATACCTACATACATACATACTACATACATACATACATACATACATACATACATACATACATAGCATACATACATACATACATACATACATACATACATACATACATACATACATACTACATACATACATACATACATACATACATACATACATACATACATACATACATACATACATACATACATACATACATTAATACATACATACTATAACATACATACATACATACATACATACATACATACATAATACATACATTACATACATACATACATACATACATAACATACATACATACATACATACATACATACATACATACATACATACATACATACAACTACATACATACATACATACCTACATACATACATACATACATACATAATACATACAACATACATACATACATACATACATACATACAATACATACATACATACATACATATACTACATACATACATACATACATACATACATTAACATACCCACACATCATACATAGGCATACATTTACATGCCTAATCATACACACATACGATCATATGTAAACAACCATCCACACTCAGACTCACACATTAACAAAATCACGCAAAGGCCTGTCAGCAATGAGGGTTCTGGCTGCCGCTAAAACTGAGCAGAGACTGCTTCTGCTTCTGTTGCAGGGACTTGTACTTTCTCCCATCGAATATGCTCTAACCATCCTCACTGTCAGCCATACTCAGATTAAAAGACTTAAGAAGGTGCCAAATGAAGCAATGCGCATTATTCTAGGGTGCACTGCAGACACCTCTTGTGAAGCAATGAGGTACCTTCTTGACTTCCCTACCATGAACTACAGGATCAAGAGCTGGAGGGCTCGTGCATACCTCAAAATAAGCTCAGATCTGGAGCATCCTTTGCACCACATGCTCTTCAAGAAAAAGGGCATTAGGTTTAAAAATGGACAAATCATGGCTGGGTAGGGCAGAGGATGACATCATGCAGGTTTGCAGCCTTACAGACATCCATCAGGGTGTGGAATGGATACCAGAGTCTAAAGCGCCCGATCTCACATTCTCATGTGTCGTGACGCTCGATGGGAGTTGACGGGAGCAGAATCCAGCTGCCGTCAATGCCGAGGTATGCGCGCTTATCAGTGACAAGTCAGATAAGACAGATCTTCACAGACGGGTCTGTTTTACCAGGACATAAGAGTGCAGGGGCATTAACAGCTGGCTCTTCAGGCAGAACAGTTAAGGAAGCCTTCGATGCCTTCTCCATGACCACCAGCAGCATGATGATGGAGGTGATGGCGGTGACACAGGCTTTTATGTGGCTGGGATCACAGGACTTTTCCCGCGTGTGTGTGCTGAGTGATTCTTTGAGTATGATCCGGCGGGTCGAGGCAGGCTGGTTACGCAGACAGTGGCTTGAGTCATTGCAGTGTTAATGTTTGTAACTTGTGTCTGGTTGTTATAAGCGTAGATTTAGTTTTATTTATGTTAACGTGCATATAATTGCATTGCTCTATTGAATAGGATTATTTACCTCTTTCTGTTGAAACAGTTTTAAACTCATTACAATTCTCAGGGGTAGTATATATTGTAAAGTCGTCAGCTAACAGAACGCAAGTTAGGCTGTGTAATGTAAGGTCGTTAATATACGTTGCTACACTGTAGTGAGCCTATGAATCGATCTATGGGACGCATATAAATATATAGATATATATTATAACTGAGTGGATTATGACAGAGAGTTATTGAAGGATAATTTGCCGTCTATCAGAAAAAATGATCGTATTATTTTGACTAAATTATCGTTAATCCTCAAGTTTTTAATTATTTATGTTATTCGAATATCATGATCTAAAATATCAAAGGCTTTCCTAAAGTCCACAGACACTGCTCCAGAAATGTAACCACTGACGTGTTAGTCTGGCCACAATCATATCAGTCGCATTTTGGGTGTTTGGACTATGTATGAAATCCATTGGCTACAATGCATTTTGTCCTTTACACATCGCAGTTTTCTGTTACATATCCGTCGGATTTTACTACCTTACTTTAAACCGTTCTAAACATGTGTCGCGATACACTGATGTGTCGGCTGCAGTGTGACTGTGTGTAGCACGA